TTTGTGGGATCAGCTGTTGATGGGGTGTTGTTGTTGATCAGCAGCCAGGGATCGTGTATATGATTCGGCAGTGCGAGGTGAGTTTTCCTCACTATACTCTCGGGTCGAAGGCACCAAAGCCGACGTATTGTTTGATAACCTGATATTGTTGATATGCTGAGTATGAAATAGATCTGCATGATTATGCTAGTTGCCGATATGTTAGTATGGTAGATCTGTAGGACTGCCTATGTTTCTGTCTGCATGATTATCTGTATATGATGGTTATCTGTTGGCATATTGTGTTGGGTTGAGGTTGTACTGCTTTGTGTTGTAGCCAACAAACCCTGGAGCATTCCATATATGAGCTGAGGGCCGGGTAGGGCATGCCAGACTCATACTGAGGGCTTGAGGGTATTGGTATGCCAGACTCGTACTGAGGGCTTGAGGGTATTGGAGCAATACATATATGAGCTAAGGGCCGGGTAGGGCATGCCAGGCTCATACTAAAGGCTCAGTAGAATTTCATATATGAGCTGAGGACCGGTTGGTATGTCAGACTTGTACTGAGGGCTGAACATTGGTATTCTAGTCCGATGTCTGGTTGAATTAAGAGCAAGCCATACATAAGCTGTGGGCCCCGGGGGCAAGCCAGACTTATGTTGTGGGCTCAAGAGCAGGCCAGATATGATCTGTGGGCCTGATAGGAAAGCCAGACTCATACTGTGGGTCAGGAGTAATCCAGTCTTTAGTTGTGAACCCAATACATGTTGTTGTTACTTATGTGCTATTTGTTTGTGTGTTGCTACTTTGGGGGAACTCACTAAGCTTCGTGCTTACAATTTGTTTATGGTTTCAGGTTCTTCAGATGATTCGTGGCAAGGCGAAGGCGTGACCGTACACATCCTTGGTTTTTCAACAGATTGGATCTTGGGAGACTCTGATTTTTAAATCATGTTTTGGAGACAATGTTTTTTGTAAACACTTTTGTTAATAAATGGGTTGTTTTGAAAAAGTTTAAATTTGTTGAAATTTTTGGGATGTTACACCTTGATTCTAGGGTTTGGATGTGAACCATCAGAGACACGACATTTGTGGTGCTAGCTTCAAGTAATTTTCAAGAAGGATTTTACTTTGATTACCTATTAGCATAATCAAAAGGTATGTTTTCTTTATCCTTATAATAATTTCGAAAATCATAGGCTTCTCCTAGGGTTCTTGATATTCAAGTTGATTATTGCATTCAATAGTGAAAACCTAGATCCTTAGGGTGTATGCAAACTTAGGGTTTTATTTTTCCGGCAAAATATGATTTTTTTTATATGTAAAACCCATCAATAGTGTGGTTTGGGTTGAGGTTGCACTGCTTTATGTTGTAGGCCAACAAACCCAGTGGCAATCCAATCGGGAGATTGTTGGCCAGAGTGGCAATCCAATCAGGAGATTGTGGGCCAGAATGGCAATCCAAGCGGGATATTATGGGCCAGTGCCAATCCAATCGAGAGATTATGGGCCAGAGTGGCAAACCAACAGGAAGGTTGTGGACCAGGTTAATCCAATCGGGAGATTGTGGACCCAACATGCATTATGTATATTGTTTTGATTGTGTGTGGTACTTTGGGGGAACTCACTAAACTTTGTCTTACAGTTTAAGTTTTATGTTTCAGGTACTTCAGATGATCGGGGTAAGACAAAGGCTTGATTGTGCACATCCTTCAAATTTTATGCGATTTGATCTTGGGATACTCTGATTTGTGATTTTGACACTTTGGAAACTTTGTTTTGTAAACATTCATGGTTTTTGGTTGGTTTTGAAAAATGAAAATTTTATTTTGATTTTGGGATGTTACAACCTTCATCGGTAATATGAAAGAAAACACTAGGGTTTTATGGTGGTGTCCGACGGTCGAGGTGGTTGGTTTCTAGATAAAAGAGTGATGGTTAGGGCAATTAAGTGGTTGGGTTTTCCTGGTGAGAATGGAAGATGATATAATTTTTTCTTTCTTTTTTTGGTTAGACGTCGAGATGGAGATAATATATATATATATATATATATATATATATATATATATATATATATATATATATATATAGAGAGAGAGAGAGAGAGAGAGAATATGTATTACTTTTTTTAATATGAAAAGTATATGATAAAAAGACTGAAAATGGTAAATATGTATTTTTATATGGCAAAAAACCATACACATAATTTTAGAAACTATGGGGACTTACCACGTAAGAAATAAAACCATATGGACAAGGCATATAATGATTTTGACAATTATATTGACTCACAATATTCTATAAACTATTGAGAACACCCTCATAATTCTATCAATATTTTATTAATCTAAATTAAACAAAATTCTATGTTGTTAGTTATTGTTTCAAAAGTATTATAGAATAATAGTTAATACAATATATTATTTTTAATAAGAATATGGATATTTATAAATATGTTTATTTATTAATGTTTGTAGATTCTTATGGCTATTAATTAAAAACTAAAATGAAAAGCTACAAAAATACATTAAATAAGTTACATGAATAAAATCAAAATGTATTTATATAATAAATATATATTTTTAATAACATCTTGAATGAAGGTAATAAAAGATTTTATATTATTTGAAAACTTTTGTAAACCTTTGAGTGGGTATATTATACATGAAAATATTTAACTGATAATAAAAGAAGGTTGAGAATGCAAAAATTAATTAAGGAGACGTGTCGGTATGGATGTCAAAAAGTCTTGTGTGACCCTGATCCTATGAGGCCCCCGTCCCGTATGGGGGTGTTTGCTGAAAAATATCGGGGACGGGAGCGGAAGCGAGGCTAGGCGGAGGTTGGCACTCCCGTCCCGAAACCCCCATGGGGGCCCGTTAATAAACTATATATATTTACATATATTAATTACATAAATATAATAAACAATAGAATGATTTTTACGTACCAAAATTCAACAAAAAAACATGTTTTTAAGGTGTTTGTAACACGTAAAATTATGCTACAAATAATTATTTGTTACCAAAAAATAGTTTATTTTAGCTCAAACAAGAACTTTTAGCCCATATAAGGTAGCCCAAAATCAATCGGGGGCGGGGGAACGGGGCAGACGCGGGGGTAAGAAGGGGAATTTGAGGGTGGGGGCGGGGGAACAGGGGAATTTTGGGGGCGAGGGAGGGGGATGCAATCCTTGTGCCGTTTTCCCCTGTTGACATCCCTACGTGTCGGGGGCATGGAAAGAGGCACGGAGCGCCCAAATAAGGACAAATTAGTTGCGACTTCAGAAGAAGGTTGCGTGTCTTGTACATGGGAAGGGGCACATCGCGCCTAGTTCCCGATCAACCAATTCTGAAGCACTTAATCCGTTAAGACAAACAACAAAGCTTTTAGATCTAGGTTTAAGCAATGCATTAATGGATAAAGTTTTCAACTTTATCCATACACTTTCCAAAGGCAAGCTAAAACCCAAACCCTAGATATTATACGTGTCCAAAATGCCCTTTTCTTCTTGCATGGAGCAAAGAGAGCTAATGCATGCATACTTTACTCCACCAAAAGTTCATATCCGAACCCAAATCCAAGTCTCAAAAGTCCAGAAGTGTCGAGAAGGATGGCTTCTACAAGTCTCTTTCCTCGTTACATCTTATTTCTTGAATCATTTACCAAAATACACCAAAAATGCATCAAAGAGGGAAGATAAACTCAAAAACACCAAAATTATACTTTTAATCATTATATATATATATATATATATATATATATATATATATATATATATATATATATATATATATTTTATAAAATGATATTCTTTACCCTTATATTTTTTAAAATGTCACTTTGACCCCTTCATTTTTTCTAACTTTCCAAAGTGACACTTTCCACCATATATTTCTTAAAATGTTTTGTAAAATGATATTTTCACCCTTATACTCTTTAAAATGTCACTTTTGACTCTTATGTTTTTCCCAACTTTCATAAATGACACTTTCCACCCTATGTATATCTTAAAATACCTTTTAAAATAATATTTTTTATCCCTATACTTTTTAAAATGTCACTTTGACCCCTCTATATTTCACAACTTTCCAAAATTACACTTTCCACCAATATAGCTCTTAAAATACTTTATAAATTTATATTTTTACCCTTATACTTTTTAAAATATCACATTTACCTCCTCTACTTTGAACTTTGTAAAGTGTCATTTTCACCCCTCTATTTTCTAAACTTTTGTGTTTATCACCCGTAGTATGCATGTATCGCCACAAATTCAAAGGGGTTAGCGTCTAAACGTAATTTTTTTCTTCATATTTTCGTTCTTATTTTTATGTATGCTTCCTATGTATGAGTTGGGCCACATACTATAATTTTTATTATTTGAACTTCCGTTCATTAGCTTAAAAAATAATCTTATTTGCTTATTTTTTGTATGTATCGATATAAATTCGAGTTTTTTTACATTTAGACGTAAATTTTGTGTATGTTTTCAAGATTATTTTTATATACGTTTTCTATGTATGAGTTCGGTTAAATATAATGTGTTTTCATTTGACAATATAAATTGAAGTTGGTCATTGGTACTACAAAATAGATTACTGCCGCAAGCAGATGCGATTTACTAGTTTTATATAAAAAATGAATAATATCATTAAAATAATGCTCTAACTTCTAAGCTTTATCATCCCAAATATTTTCTAAATTTTATCTAATATTAACCATTTTCAAGAGTTAATGTATCTTAAAATGAAAATCTCTTTACTGATTATATTAATAAAATTCTTTTTTTTTTAATATAAATAATTAGAAGAAATCTGGACCGTGAAATTAAAAAGTTTAAAAATAAAAGTAAATTCGACATCGCTTGAAATTATTGCACGTAAAGGACTACGTTTCTCCTTGGTCAACACGTAGTCTCTGGCTGCGAGTATATAAAACCCTACACCACCCTCACCTCCATTAACTTTCATTCACTTTTAGATCTTTCTAGATCCAGAGAGAAAAGGGGTTCAACAATGGCGTCTGGAACTGCCGGAGACGCTATATTCGGAAACGTATTCGGAGGATGTATTTCCAGTGACGAATTTGGTATTGAGAGGAGGCCATACCACCGTAACTGCAGCTGCGCTCTCCATAAATCCGGCGAAAACAATTGCCCTCATGCTTCTCATCACAAACAGAAGGTCTCCTACCCTGTCAGACGATCATGGAGCGAAGGTTGTCTTGTGGCTATGATGACATCAGCAGGCTCTGCTTCTTCTGGTTCTTCCCCTTGTTGTCCTTCTTCACCGGCACCGACACCTCCTGTTACGGCGAGACTGCCGCCGCATGTGCGGAGCCATCAAGTGAATCATTAGGTTTCGTGGTGTGTGTCTACTGTTTGAATATCTGTTAGGGTTTCTTCATGTTTTTGGGGTTGGATTGATCGGATCTGTCGAGGGAAATCAAATCATAAGCAGAATCATGTACATCTTTAACTATATATTTATTATAGGAGAATTTCGTATATACCCTCATTACACATAAAAATATCATATTTGCCCAATTTAATTTCTAAATATCATATTTATCCTTTATAAACTTTAAAATATTATATTTACCCTAACCCATATTTTTAATATTCTTAAACATTATTTTAATAATTTTAAATTTTTATTTATATCAAAATGACTATTCTACCCTATTATAAACCAAGTTTAATATATCAATACTAACCACCTCCTCCAATTCCCTTCGCTAGAGAAAGAAATCAAATTAATTCCATTATTTAGGGTTTTTTAATCAAAAGTTGTAATATAGGCATAATCAACATTAGTTAGATAAGGATTCTTGCTTGCAGACACAACTCTCAAGAACCATAATTCGATTGGTATGGAATGGAGGCTTCAAGTTCTTTATCATTTACTCTTTAATTTATATTATATATTTTCTCTTTTTACAGTTTTTTTGGAAGCGAGATACTCACTTTAGGCATATATTTTTTCTTTTTACAGTTAAATTAAAACTCACTTATTACTTCGAATTTGGTAAATGGGTTTTCAAGTATTTGAAGCTTTTATGATTTGGTTTTACAGAAATTTCTTATCCGTAGGTCATTCGACCAACTATTTATTGCGGCACTTATTACTTTGGATCTGGTTCAAAGTTCATAATCGATGCCCAGGAAGATATGATCTGAAATTCTACTTTTTGTTTATATTAAGTTTTTGAAGATTAATGATATTTTGAATTTAAAATTATAACAAGGGTATAATAGTCAATTAATTAAAAAATAATTTAAAATATTTAAAAAAAATATTAAAATTAAGTATTTGAGTAAATATGATATTTTGAAAGTTTTTAAAAGGTAAATATGATATTTGGAAATTAGAGTGGACAAATATGATATTTTGATGTTTAATAAGGGTATATACGAAATTCTATTGATTTATCTTAATGAGTTATAGCATTAGTCGATTTTCTTGGATGAATTTTGATGGTTTATAGTTTTGAGGATGAATGTTAATTTTTAACTTAACTAAAAGAGAGGTTAAAATCTTTGTTTTATTTATGAATTAAAACTATTTTTTGGGCTAATAGACATTATTGTTTTCAATAAGAAAAAAATAGTCAAATGAATTACGATTTTTAATTAAATTTGAAGATTGATATATTTTTATGGGATGTTTTCATATGTCTATTGGATTTGGTAAGACTCTGATCTGATATGATCATATTAAAATGGTTTGATATTATATTTAAAAGCTTCTATTTGATATTTGATGCATTTTATTGATATGTTTCTTATCTGGTTAAACATTTAAAAGCTTCAAATTCCGTTTCGCCTTTTTTGATATCTCTTTTATTCGGTTAGTCGGTTAGGTTTAGAGTTATGTCTAATATTAATATAAATAGATATTATTCGATCAACAACTATCAAACATATATAACTTTTTTTATACAAAACTTTTTTATTTTTATTTTTAAATATAAAAAGACAAAATTAATTTTTTTTGCTTTGTCTTTTTAAACATAAAAAGAAAGATTAAATATTATTATATAAAGAGAGAAAAGGTCAGCTAGTCCAGCCTAAATCACCACTGTCGAACAACCTTTTCAATAAATATTTGTGTGCAAAATTTAATATAGTTTGTTGAGCTTTGAAGTCAACTATATAAAAAATATGGTATGCGCTGTTAAATATTTATTGTTATGGTTCAAAAAAAAAAATCTTGGTCTTACGTGAAATTTGTTGAAAACTATAATTTGTTATCTTACTTTAGGCATGTTTACGTATTTGATTATATAGAAGATAAAATCTAAGTTACAAGTGTTGCATTATTAACAAAGTCAGAAGGCTGCAAAGTTAGCAATACTTCTTTGATGGGTTGATTAGTTGTTTGCATAAACTCTCTAATAAAATTTAACCAATCTTTACTAATACATTAATGTATTTATTAATAATAAATAAATAAATAAATTTGATTTTAAAGAAAGACTGATTTTTTGCTGTATTTATGTCCTGAACCAAACTTTTAAACAAGTGGGTAGCAGCTAACATGCCAAAAATAAATAAAAATAGCAAAGTTGAATGCACAATAATTTCCCAAAGAAAAAGACAATTCACATCGGCACCTAAATTGTACTTTTCTCAAATTCAGAAAATAAAAAACGAAAAACACAACAATAGGACAGTAACCATTTTCCCCCTATATATAGTATGTTAGGCGTCGCTGATTTGCGGTTAGATATCTTTGATTAATGGGAAATTGATTTATTAAAGTAATTAATTTTTTATTTTGTTTATATCAGGGTAACTGTATTTTTTTTTACACATTTAAGTAACAAATTTTTTGGAATGTGAAAATTTTTTGAAAGTGTTCACATATGATCATTATGACCGACTGTAGCAGGTTATATCCGGTAATAACCGGTCATAATGGTCATATGTGAACACTTCCAAAAAGTTTGTTATCTATATATGTACACACAAAAAAAATAGTTACCCAAATGTAAACAAATGGAAGCTATATTAAGAGTAAATTACACGAATGGCCCCTGTGGTTTGGGTAATTTGTGTGTTTGGTCCCTAACTTATTTTTTAACTCGGATGATCCTACTGTTTATTTTTGTTATTCGTTTGGTCTCTGTTTTACTTCAAAAGACTATTGTGCTCTTTTTAATTTATTTTTTAAATTAATTTTCTTATTTATGTATTTATTTTTTATATATTTAAAAAAATTAATAGACCCTACATATCTATATCTCCTCACCCACAACCCACTGTCTCTTCATTGAATTTTCCACCGGTATAACTCAATAGAAAAGTTGTAGAGTTGGTTCGTCGGAGTTAAAGGACCGAAAAAAAAGGGATGGTGAAGACGTCGATGTAACTAAAGATGGAAAGGAAATAGAAGTTGATAAGGATGAGAGATGGGATGGTGACTTGTAGGACCCAACTTAAATTTCTTAAATGTGGTTTTAGATTTAGGATGAGAAGATATAGATATGTGGGGTCTATTAATTTTTTAAAATATATAAAAATAAATACATAAATAATAAAATTAATTAAAAAATAAATTAAAGAGAGCACAATAATCTTTTGAGGTTAGACAGTGACCAAACGCACAACAAAAATAAACAGTAGAGATCACCCGGGTTAAAAAATTAGTTAGTGACCAAAGACACAAATTACCCAAACCACAGGGACCATTCGTGTAATTTACTCTTACATTTTCAGTTTGTTCACATCTGGGTAACTATTTTTTTTTGTACACATCTAGGTAACGAACTTTTTGGAAGTGTTCACATATGGCCATAATGAGTGGTTATGATCGGATGTAACCTGCTACAGTAGGTCACAATAGTCATATGTGAACACTTCCAAAAAGTTCGTTACCTAGATGTGTACAAAAAAAAAGATAGTTACAGAGATGTAAACAAACTAAAAAATTAATTACATTAATAAGTCTATTTCCCTTGATTAATCCGCGTGAAGCTATATTCTTTTTCAACATGTTGCAATCCATTAAAGGAAATCGCATGCAAGAATATGAATTTGTGATTTCTTTAACAAAATTGGTGTTTGCTTAATTTTTAACTATTTCTCGAAATATATATATATATATATATATATATATATATATATATATATATATATATATATATATATATTAAACAATCCAATAATTAGTATTATGAACTAATCACGAATTATTTAGAATAGACAAATAAACGAATGGAAAGATAATATTTATGATTAAATATCCAAACGTTTTCACAAACAACCAACGATTAATATAGATGATTAAACGTTGATATGTTGCAAGATAATAAATCTAATTATATTATTATTGTTACCAAGTTTTGTCCAAAAATCAGAATGTTATTGGACGAATTTAAATGCAAAACAATAATGTAAAACCGACATGTTGATGGATGATTTTGATTGTAGAAAACTGAACGAATCAGACACTTGTCCTTAATCGTTTTACATTGATTCTAGGGTTGTAAGCAACAGAGTAAAACCTCAGGATTTAATATAGGTTTATCGTTTTTCCAACAACAATGGAAAGCAATAAACGAAAAGTGAATACTCAGAAACGGAAGAAATTTACGACTGCTTGAGAGAGAGAGAGAGAGAGAGAGAGAGAGATACAAATTTCGGTGGTTTAAATGGGACCTGGGAGGTCCTATTTAGAGTGGACGAAAAACCGTAGAGGTTCCCCAAAGATCGGACCTGATGACTAAGTCGGCCTTCTCACAGGCTAACACATGTCATTTTAAATGTAACACCCGTTCCTCGAGGTATTATTTAAATTATATAAGTTAATTATTTTTTTGGACTAGCACTTGGATATTGGACCCATTTGAGTGGATTTAGAAAATGGGCCGAGTTGATGGGCTGCCCATAAGCCGTACGTCGGGCGTAACCTGGTGTACGCGGGGCTTAGTGGCCATTGGATTCGAGGGACGCGGGTTCGTACGCGCAGCGTACCAAGAGGTACGCCCAACGTACGCGGGCATATGACAAACCCTAATTTTTTGGGTTTAGAACCTATAAATACATCATTATAGCCTCCCCTTTTTGGCCTCCTCACCTGTCCATAACCCTCAGAGAAACCCTAACTCGTTCATACTCTTCCTTGTGTGTGTGTTTGACATTTTGAGCTTATTTTAGGAAAGAAAGGCTTGGAAGAAGAAAGGAAAGGTTGGAGAAGAAGCCCTTGAGCTCAAGGATCTAGAACAAGCTCACCATTTGGCACCAAGAGGAGGTATAAAGCTCCTATCTTTCCTCTTAGAAGTATGAATCTAGGGTTTTGAAGGTTTGGACCTTTTTAGGTCCAAAGAATGGATCTTGTTCATGCAACTTCGTTTT